TTTTTTTTTAAATAACGGGCCCAGTGCCCAAGGCTGATATTACCAATATGAAGATTGAGGCCGGGGTCCTCACAGTCTACCCGGAGTGACCGAACCGAACTTGCTGAGAACCGGGCTCAGCGTCCCTGATATGATGATAATGATGATGATGATGATGATGATGATGATGATGATGATGAACTTCTGCTGATTCTATGTAAAATGTGAGATAATCATACTAATGATGATGATGCCTGGTATGTAAAAAATTTAGAAGATTATGTTGTATCAGCAATTCTGCCCTCCTAATCCTAGAACAACTCCTAGCCCTCCCTGTACCAGGACATTACATCTCAGAGACAATGCCATCCTAACCAACATCAACCATAGCTGACCTGTTCTCGCCACCTAGACTATTCCCGGACCCATAGGTTGTCAAGGCAGCCCCCCCCAGTTCGCCACTGGATTGCCTTCCTCCCTCAGCAAAACCCCAGATCTCTCCACAAGGCCTCCCACTCCTGCCATTCGCAGGTTACAGGGCAACGCCCCAGCTCCGGCCAGCGTCGTTCTGGCATCGGCAAACCAAGGGCACAGAACAAAGCAACTCTGCAGTATCAGTACCTGTGCCAATCGGGCTGCGCAGCTCACCTTTGCCCAGGCGGCCCGGCTGGGCTATGGTTCCTGCAACAAAAGAAAAAGGAAAGAAAACAAAAAATCCAAAACGTCCGAAAAATAACTACGTTGTGCAGAAAAATAAACTGGACAGCTTTTTGGACCATTTCTCGATTTATGCGTGTCATCCTTGCACAGGGGCCATGCTAATCTTCTCTGTATTGTTCCAATTTTAACGGATGTCCCGAAGGACACTGGACAGCTTTTTCCTCAGGGTCACATCGAAATTCTTTGCCCCCCAAAAAAAAACTTTAAAAAACTAATAAAAAGTCCAATTTTTTTTTTCTTTTTTGGCCAGGATGGGTAAATGGTCCCGACCCACTCTGGTAACCTAGATCAGTACAGTATGTTTTAAACCACCAGTACTTCCAGAAGTCGTGGTGTTCATGCAGCCAGCCAGTGGTGTTCATGCAGTCAGCCATCGCTACAGAGCCGCAACGTTTCCTCTTGAATGAATTTATTCCAGCGCCCCAGGCCCACTTATCCCAGCAGGTCGCGGTGTGCATGCCGGCCCCGAGTTTCGGAAGTACTGGTGGTGTAAGTTTTAACAGAATTTGTACATATCATAATGCGGAGATGAACATAATGATGCTGAGGGCATACTCACACTAGGACTTTTACCATTTTCTTGATGCAATTTGGGTCAGATACATCCTGGTCCCGCCATAATTGACGACGCACTGTATATACCACAACAGATACCGCAGGAACAAGAAGCTGGAGCTAATGAAATGCACAATACAAGCACCTGACTCAGAGTCGCATGTTGTCGAGTGAAAGCATCCCCGGGGGTTGTCAGACTTGTCAGACTTGTCCTCGTTCTGTAACATTCCTCGAGGGGCCTGCTCCAGAGTGCTTACTCCTTGCTGCATGTAGGGCTCATGTTCTCCTCCCCAAGCCAGAATGGATCAGCTTGTGGTGGTGGGGTAATTGGAGGGGCTCGAACAGTAGGGGCTTGGGGGGGGTGAGAGAGGGGGGGGGGGGGGAGGCGGGGGGGGGGGGGGGGGGGGGGGTGAGAGAGGGGTGTGGCGAGATCATGGAAGAGGGTTGCTCTGGTGGGGGGGATTGGGGGGGGGGCTGGCTTGGAGGGGTGACAGAGTGTCGGATTGGTAGGTGAGCCCTGCAGCTTGCACTGAGTACAATTTCATGCCTGATTCAATCAAACAAACCTAATGTTCAAGGACCACGAAGGTGTTATGCATGAGTTTTGAGAGAGTATAGGGTTTAAGGGGTTTACATGGGACATCCATAGTACAGGGGAGCTGCAGAACAGGGCTGGGCTAATAGAGACAAGGGGCGCTCGAAGACGGGATGGGTGACACTAGCAGCTCCATGGGATAACGGAGCCCCGGGCTGACAAGAGAAATGACCATAGCCTCAGGAAAACAACAAACAGAAATTTGTGTGTTACAAGATGTATCAATGGGATGCTGGACCTGGTTTCCAGAAGGTGCCACTCCCCACCAATAGTGGAACATCCCTACAGATAAGCCCTCAATTACGACGGTTCTCTTTCCACCACCAGGATAGAGGGCTTACACAAGGGCTATTCTCGCAACAAAAGAAAAAAAAAAAAGAATTGGCCTGGGGCCGCTATTCTGTCCGCTTTCTAGTTCATCAGGAACCGCTGTGTCAGACAGGGTAAAGTTTCTGCTTTAAATCACGTACAAAGGCTCGTTATCCTCAATATTTGGCAGTGCTTTCACCGCAACAATCCGTATTTGTTTGGTCCGGCCCTCTCACAGTACAGGAAAGATCAAGACTACTGTTCGGTCCAAGTTGCCCTCCATACCAGTAGGGTGATGGTCCTGGGTGCTGGTCACACTGAGGTAGGATAGTAGAGATAGGGGGTGCGCTAGGAGTATTGACGTGAGGATGGGATGGGAGGTAGCCTCGCCTCGTCAGGGAGTCCACGGCTGACCACGTCTGGCAATCAATGTGTGGGTCTAGTAACTGGCCTCTACAACACCCTGGGCTTAAAAAAAAGAATAAAAAAAATAAAAAATAAAAAAAGAAAAAAGAAGAAGGGTCGACCACTTAGGCCTCTCTCAATAGTCCAGAAGGCTGTTTTGAGGGGCCTACAGCCGCTCTGCAGTACCACCAAAGCCCATGAACCCCTTCTGGGAATCCGGGGGATTGACCTCTACAAATAATTAATTAGGATTAGTTAGGATTATTAAGGTCTGGACCCCACAGGAAAAAGTCAGCGGCCTTCCAATGGATTTACCTGTGGATTTACCTCTACGAATAATTAATTAGGATCATACATGCAAGCGCACCTCGTGCGGGCAGTTCCCGGCGTGCGGCGCATGCGCCCAATCGTTTGGCGCACGAGATGTGCGGGGAACGACCCGTCACCCCCCTCGGAAAATAAAAACGAAGGCCGGGGGTTGAAACAGTGCGTTCGAGACCCCCCGCCAAAATTATAAGCGGGATGAATTTTTTTTTTTTGCAGGAGTGCTGGCTCACCTTGCTCCTCCTCCCCTTCCTCCTCTTCCATGTCTCCTCCTCCCTTCTCCTTTTCGTTTCCTCCTTTTCGTCCTCCTCCTGCTCTCCATGTCTCCTCCTCTTGTTCGTCCTCCTCCTGCCCCTCCTCATCCTCCTTGTCTCCTCCTCCTCCTCCTCGTACTTCGCCATCTTCCATGCCTCCTTGTCTCCTTACCTTCCTCATGTCCTCCCCTTCCTCTCCGTCCGTGTCTCCTCCTCCTCCCACGCGTCCTCCTCCCACCCTTCCTCTTTCCCTCCGTCCATCTCTTCTCCTCCCCCATCTCTGATCCTCCTCCTCGCCGTCGTCCTCGCTATTCTCGTCGTCCTCCTCGGCCACATCCTCCTCCTCCTCTTCGTGCCCTCCTCTACTCGCCATAACCCCAGCTTCCTGTCATATGCCCCCCCCAATCCCCCCTCCCAAACATAAAAATAAAAATAATAATAATAAAAAACCTTTGCGATTCCGCACAGGTACCCCCCGCACGGAACTCCGCACGGGACTCCGCACGGAACTCCGCACGGAACTCCGCACGGAACTCCGCACGGAACTTCGCACGAATGTGCGGCTCATGCGGTTGGAAGTATGGTTAGGATTAATAGTTCCCATCCGGCGACTCTCAATGCGAAATCAGGAAAAAGTCAGCGGTCTTCCTGTGGTCAGGCAACCATGACAACCAATCCTTCATTCACAAGGTGGCCTGGCAAACAATTACCCAAACCAAAGCCAAAGGTGGTTTGGGCCTCCTAGACTCAGCCCGCCAAATTCAGGCCCTCCAAATCAAGTGGATCCTGAGAATCTCTCTCTAGGATACACTACACTGGGTTCCTCTAGCCCTTAACCACATCAGGAAGCTAGGCCCATTCAAATCCCCAAATAACATGTCAGGACTCTTTTGGATCTACAACAAGAATTGGTCACTTCCCAAAAAACAAAAGAACCCGAAACTCACACATACACCAAGAAGATGCACAAGCTAACGAACCCCCTTTTTTTTAAAAAAAAAAGCAACTTCGTAGACGGGAAACCTACTTAACGAGGTGATAAGAGCATCCCCGGTAAGTAGGTCCCGGCGTCGAAGGCTCCATCTATTGGTGGGGAGCTACACCTGCTGGAAATCGGGTCCAGCATCCCTGTTCAATGATGAAAATGTATCTGCTGGAAATCGGGTCCGGCATCCCTGTACAATGATGTGAGTGTATCTGCTGGAAATCGGGTCCAGCATCCCTGTGCACAGATGAATTGACAGCTCCATCTACCAATGTATGCACGTCAAGCGACGCATGTCAGAAGATGAGAAACCCTATCCATCTGATCTCTGTATATATACAACTATCCTGAAAGCCCTAACAAGATGTGATGTATGTATGATGTATATGATGTATATGATGTACGTGTTCTCTATCTATCAACACCCCCTAAGTTTCTCTGGCACAAATCCTTCGCATTTGGAGAAACATATTCCCAGAGAACAGAAACAGGCCTAAAAGAAGAGACGAAGTCCTCAGACAACCCCTTTTCAGAAACCCTTGGATCAAAAACGAGAAAGGAGAACTTTACCCTCTCTCCTCAGCAGAGGCCAAATGGGGTCATTGGATTGAAAGAGGAATATGGCAAATCCATCACCTTTGGAAAGACACATCCAATGCTTGGAATCCGAGAAGGACCTGAGGACAACGCTGAAAGGTATCCACCATCTTTTTTTTTTTTTTTTTTTTTTGAAAAAACTGCCCGTTTGGGAGCTAGGGGCGCTGGTATGAGCAGACGCCTCTATCTCCCCCGTGGAGGCTCCATCTATTGGTGGGGAGCAACACCTGCTGGAAAACGGGTCCAGCGTCCCTTAACAAAATCCATTGGTTTCCTTCTGAAGATTTCCTCATCTTCTGCCAGCATTGATTGCCCAGAGAACAGGGGATTAACTGAGCAAGAAGATGAGTAGCCCAAGAGGAAGGAAGAAAGGGTCTCTTCAGCCCTGCTGCTGGGCGCCCAAAATGCATGACGACCTAGCCCCCGTCCCTCCCTTCAGATACAGCAAATTAATCCTCTGCAACTTTATAACTATGTAGATTATGCTCCCCACACACACTCTGCCAATAGCAGACTATTGGGCGGGAGAGGGTCAGGGAACTCCGAAGGGGAAAAAGTAACTCAGAAAACGCCTGCCCGCATTGATTACTCTGGTGTCCAGAGGATTAACTGTGCAGGTTATTGAGAGATACATATCCCAGCTGACCCCGTCCCAGCTATCCCAGGTGTCATCCCCCGTCCTCCCCACTTCCTATCTAATCAGATACCATTCCAAATCCACCAGTATTAGTCCCGCTTGTGTCCGAGCCAGGCGTCCCGTGGGGCGCAGTGCGTCCGGGAGCGCTGCGCCCCAGCACGAGCACTATGGGAGCGGACGCGGTGCGACGCGGGAGTCAACGGAGAGTCATGCGACGCGGTGGGCGGGTGGGGGCTGTGGTGGGAGAGACTTGACAGTGGGAGGGTAGAGATGGCGTGGCGTGACTAGGTGTGGCCTGCCTTTTGAAAGCACAAGGATGCCATCTCCAGCTTCACGCTTCATCTAGTGATGCTGCAGGTCAGCACGCTGGATGAAGGGAAGACTGTCTTTGAAGGGGGGCGGGTCTTCATTGAGTTCTTGGCATATGGGTTGCCTTTGCTCCTCTGCCTGCGTAGTTTTGTGGAGGAAGGTCGGCTGTTTCAGGCTGAAAGGGAGGAGCGCGTCCTCACGTGGAGTGGGAGGAGGATTGGGGGCAACATCGAGTCCGCATTTTTTTGAAGAAGGGCAAAGCGGCATCGGCGGCAGCTGCGGTTTCGTCACAAGGGCATTCGGAGTGCGAGGGCGCTGTGGTCGATTTGGTTCACCTTGTTGATTGCATATTCAGGATGAGCTTGCTTTTCTTTGGATAGACCCTCTCGCTTCATATGAGGTATAATGGTTTCTGTTGTAGTCACTAAACTGGATTACTTTGATTCGCGTTGTGAGTTTCCAGTTCTGATTTCTGAAAATCTCAGTCTCTGATTTTACATGTCGCATTCTTGATGCAGATTTTTTAGTACATCTTGATCGGTAGTTGATACTTTTTTACTTTCTCATTTACTGTCTTGATTGTCGATTCGTTTTCGGCTTAGAATCTCCTGATTACTGTCTGATTGACCTTCCTTCTTAATTGATTGTCGATTGGTTTTCTCTGTTTAGTACTTCCTGATTTACAGTCTGAGCGATTTCTTGAACTAGGGTTATGGAAATCAGAGTCGAAAGTCTGTTTAGTTCTTCTTTTCGAAATTTCGTTCTGAATTGGATGCCAAAAATTCATGACCTAAATTACCTTGATTACTAATTGATCTCATCTTTAAATTTCACTTATCAAAAAGACGATACAGATCTGATTTTCGATGAAAAGATCTACGACTGTGGTGGTGTTTTTTCTGTTGATGGTTGCCTAGGGGGAAACTAGAACGGGTGGATGGAAATAATGAAGGGGGACTTTCAACAGACGGGAGATGTCGGTTAAGGTGAGTAGGTCAGGAGGACGATGCTGGGACGACATAGACCGGTGCTGGAGCTGTGCTTTGTGACCCAGGGGGAGCTTGAGGTCCATGGAGTTATGCCGAGGGTGGAAGGCATAACCAGATCGTCCAACGTAGTTGGCACCGGGGTGTGGACCTTGTAACCTGTTTAGGGGTTAACCGCTAAAGGAATTGTCGAGGGAGGAAGGCACTTCCTGTCCGTCAGAACTAGGTTGGTCGGTACTGGGGTGGGTTGTGGTGCCCTGTTACCCTAGCAGAGGAGGGTATGAGGCCAAGTGAGTTCTGGTACGAGGACCGAAAGCCGAGACCGACGGTCCGCTTGTTGAGAGGGGGATTTTAGGATAGTTGGTATTAATTTCTAGTTTTGACCCCCCTTTTTCTGAATTTTATCCTGTTTGGCCGTTAAGGGGGACTCGAGAATGTTTAGGATTCTGGGGCTTCTATCAACTTTTCCCAGGCTGCTTTGAAGTTGTTATACTCAGCGATCTGCGGTTGTTCGATGCCAGAACGACGCTGGTCGGAGCTGGGGGTCGCCCCGTAACCTGTTGACGCAGGAGCGTGAGGCCTGGTAGAGAGATCTGGGGATGCTTTGGGGTGGGCATCTCACGGGACAACCAAGGTTTGCTGCTGGGATGACGCTGGCCGGAGCTGGGGCGAGTTGTGTTGCCCTGTAACCCAGCAGGAAGTGGGGGTGTGAGGCCTGGAAGAGCTCGGCAGGGAGTAAGCCAACTTTGAGGAACTCTGGAAAGGTTTGTTAGGGAGGTCAAGATTTTTGGATTTTTTTTTAGGACCCCGACGGTCTATTCTAAAAAAGAAACGAGGTGAGTGGGGGAAGGAGACGGTGGGATATCATGCGTCCTACTAGTGAGGGGGCTAGCTGGTAGGATTGGAATAGGGTACAGCAGCAGTAGAGATGGTGGCTCTGCTGCAGTAAGTCTTGCCGAAGTAAGGAACAGAGGATTGATGGGGGGGGGGGGGGGGGTTCAAGTCGAATTTTGAATCCGGCTGATTCTTGAAGCCTATTGTAGTCATTTCCTAAGTAGCTCCAACTTTTTGAGCAAAAAACGAACGAGGGGGAGTGGGGAAGGAGATGGTGGGATATCACGCGTCCTACTAGTGAGGGGGCTAGCTGGTAGGATGGGAATAGGGCATAGCAGCAGTGGAGATGGTGGCTCTGCTGCAGTAAGAGTGAGGTGCAGTGGATGGATGGGGGGGTGTTTCTGAGTAGTTTTTTGAATTCTGTTCATATTCTGAAGTTTGTCGTATTCATTTTGTAAGTAGCTTCGATTTTTTCTAAGCCAAAGCCGGGTAATGACCCCATTATCTCAATCTTCAAAATTATATGTAAATTTCCGTATGGGACGCTGGGCCCGGTTCCCAGCACGTGCTGCTCCCCACGAATAGATTGGAGCCTTGTTCCCCCCCCCCCCCAAAAAAAAGAAAAAAAGTCTCGCTTGTGTCCTGGTTCCTCCCACCCCTGCCTTTGACATACCCCCTCTATTGACATCGCTGGCTTACTCATACCACCCCATGCCATTGCATGTCTACCATGGACTGCTGATAGGGGGGAAAGGGGTCAGGAAAGTCTGAGGGAGGCCGCAACAGAATTCTTGGATCCACCGTTGTCCAATCCCTGAAACAGAATCTGATATGATAATCTCTCTTGATCGTCCCTGAAGTACCGTCACCGATGCCTTCATTACCTTCCTGGGTACAACTGCCGTCCTACACGAATGAAGGCGATCCGACCTCCGGTATCGCTGCCCAGCCAGTCCCCCGGAATTTGTTGGATTTTTTGTTTTATGTCTTTTTGTGTCTGGAACAGATCCAGCTGACTTTTAACTTCCTGCCATTGTGCCATAAGGTGACCATGTCCGTCATTTCCTCCCCGACTATGCGGACCCTTACCATGGCATGTATGCAGCTCCAGATGCCCCACAAAACAACTCTCCTCCCTGTCTT